AAACTCAACATTTCCTTCTAGTTGTGCATGGATATTAGTCATTAAATTTTTATTCAAGGAAATGCTTTTTTCATGATCTCGTATGTGCCTTCTCGCACAAAAAGTTCATACGGTGAACTCAGTAGTGCTGTGACCATGTCACTTTTTGTTACTAATAATGTGCTTGCCTCTCTTGCAATTATATCTGCTTCCCTGTGCCTCACTTGTGTTCCTGGCTCTTGCCTGTGACAAAACACACCATTAGCTGGTAAGACACCATCGCATTTTAGAAGTTGGAAATATTTTGATTTTCTTTCTTCTTTGAAATATATGTGGCATCACTGTAGTACTGAGGGGCACAGAATTTTTTAAAAAAAAAAAAGGTGACAATTACATGGTGTTCTTGATAGTGGGGTTATTGTGCAGATTTTAGTAGTGTTTTTAGTTGATCAGTGTTGAAGTGATGTGTAATTATGCTAGATTCTTGTCAGCTAGACTTTTCCTTATCATAACATTATGAGCTCTCTGTTGATACAAAATTAGTAAAGATCACTCTAAAGGGTTTAAAAGCACTGGAATTGTTAAGGGGATTGCAAATGATCTTCTAAAATTGAAATAATCTGCATACAAAATGTCTTTATCAGACAAAGTCACCACCCTTTCTGAGATCCTGCATTCTGTATTTAAGTGAGCAGCCTTAAAATTTTTAATATGGTTCCCCAGTTATGTTGTGGAACAGAACAAAGGGTTAAACACAGTGGACTGGAAGTTTTTTGGTCTCTCTTGATACTTTTGGTCGAAGTGACTTTTTCCATACAGATATGAGTGAAAAACTGAGGCTTTTGTAAGACAAAAGAGTGAAAGTAATGCAATGGATGGAGCTAACCACTGATGTGCCTTTAGCGCAAGGTTAAAGATAGTAAGTATATAGTTTTAGAGACTTTGGATCATGTGATGTAGCAGTCATTCTTAGGTGAAATAGCTACTGTTGCATCATTCAGAGCAGCAATCTGTTCAAAGCAAAAGCTTAAGCAGATTTATAACATGGTAGACCTGTTTGTTATACAGAATGCTACACAGATACAAGTTTCAGGCTGATGCACTCTATATACTTTTAGGTTTTTTTCAATATCCTCCAACTTTGTTACTTGTATTGTTCAGTAGTGGGATTGCTCTGATTCTTTATTAAGAGAAATAAGAAGAAATAGACCAAAAGTAATTCGGGAAAATATGCTGTGTTTGGGGGAAAATATAAATAAATAAAATAGATAATAGTGCTTGGCCTGAGCAGGCACTATTAGTTTTCTGCAAGTGGCAGATCCTATAGTTGAAACTTCTTGCTTGGTGCTGATATTCTTTAGACTCCATTTCGTAACATATAAGTGGTCAAGATTGCTAATGAGGTGCCCAAGCTGGTGCTGCTATGTCTCTCTGCTCTGTTCTGTCACACAAAGCAAATTTTTTAGGAGAGGGAAGCTGCTCCCTCTCTTTTCCTATGGTCAAGCATCACCATTAATTTACCGCTGCAAGCAGTCTGTGAGCCCCAAAGCTCTAACACAGCGTGCTAGAGCGCTTTTGACGTGTTTGCATTATGGGAGGGTTAGATCTTGAGAGAGAGAGAAAAGAAAACATGTTTTGAATGAGTTTGAAAACAAAAGCCTCATTCATTTAAAACACTCAGCGGATGAATGCCAGTAAAGACTTTGAAGCACTGACTGCTTGCACTGACCCCTCTCCCTCACTTATTTGCAAGGTGATAGGAGTATATTCAATAAAACAGCTCAGCTCAGCCCAGTGCTAAGCTCTCACCTTTCCAGTCTCTCAGCCTTTAGCAAGACCAGTCGCTACCTCATCACACCCTTTCATCCTGTTTATGTGTAAGGAAAGGGCGGTGGGGAAGAGCCTGAGCCTCATCCAGTACCTCTTAATATATGAAAATAGTGGGCTTTAATCGCTACAGTTGTAACAAAGTAATAATTAATTGGAATTATTATTATATTTTTGTAAAATTGGCACACTTTGTGATTGGCAGACTGCTTGCATTAACCTTTCTTTAAAGAGCAAAATAAAGAAGACCATTAATCTGAAGAGGTACTAAATTTTGGAAATGGTTAAGGAAAGTCATAGATTGGTGTAGATATAAGATTTTTTCAATCTTATTTGCCCCCAAAGAAGTCTTCAGTATTTTTCTGTCTTTTAATCCAGGTATTTAATTTGTGCAATAACTATCTAACCTATTCTATTGAGTATTCACAAATTATTATCATTTTATAGCTTGCACTGTATGTTGTTTGTTATACATAATCTTTCAAGCAGATATTCAGAGTAAACTTGTTTCATTTATTTTATAATTTGAGATAGTTTTTACTTGACATAAGTTAGAACTTTGTTTTCCAAAAATGACAAAAAGGTTTTATTTTTGATTGCTGGAAAAAAGACTATGGTTTGCTTATTAGCAGGTTTTCTTGCCATGTATACGTACGTGTCAAAAAAGAAATACACAAGTCCTAAAAAATATGTGAGTTAAAAAAATGCATGTCTTTGTAAACTGATTTGTTATTTTTCATTTCCTGGTGAATGTATCTTCACTTGTTGTTGTTACCATTACCCACTTTTAGATCCATCCACCCTGAAACTAAGCTAATGACTCACTGTTTTACATAAGGAAGAAAACCATCGTTTTAAAAGCTCTTTGAGTCAAAGCTGCTTATCTGTATCTCTAATTTATTTTAATGCTATTAATACCTTTAAAAAAACCCAACCTAACAACAAAAAATCTGGTCTGTGTTGAGAAAGTTAGGGTATTTTTTTTTGTGTAAGCATAGCAGGTTCTTTAAAATTAGGTTAGTACAAGTGCATGAAGTTAGTTTGCTAATGTAGCTTCAAAAGATGTAACTACATCAATTTTAGTAAAATATATGAAGAAACAGAGACTTTTAAAGTTTTTGCTGTGTATTTTTTGTAATTCAGGAGAGTAAACAATTCTGTATGGGAGCTAGGCCATGATCTACCTTCACTGGCCAAATTCACCCTGTGTCTTCTAAAACCAGGATTTTACAAAATATCATTGAGGAACTTAATTGATATAACCTGGATAACATTTGAAATGTCAAGTAACTTTATAAGGTGCGGCTTCTGTCTTGAATTTAATCTAATAATTTGTTTGGGGCAGATTTAGGCATGGATTAAAAATGATACGAAATAGTAGTTCATAGATGTATGCCTTCTGTCATAGAGAAACATCAGCCTGTAATATGGACTAATGCAACTGTGACTTCATGGGACAGTATTTCTAAAGTTTTGAATATAGCTAATCTTAAAAGAATAAAATTTCTCAATATGTCAAGTGGGGAAACAAAAATTAGGAATATTGATATTTTCAGTAAAACATACCTATCTTTGGCTTTGAAGGATGGAGGACCTGCAAACTGTTAGAAAAACTTCAAGGATCTTGTATGGCATTTATTAGTCAATGAATATTCTATAAAGATGCACGAGGATCTGTATCACTGTTATTTCAAGCAGAGAAAGTGAAATTAAGAGGAAAAATTACTAATTATTCATGTTAACAGGGGAAATCAGAGCTTAGCTGACAACAGCTCTAATACACACTGCTAGAGTAGTGAAGATGGGTTAGAAATGTACTAATTCAGGCATATTTGTTCCTGTGTTGTTATTCTAAAGCTGCTGTCTCAGCCTGAAATCTCAATAATAATAATAATAATAAAAATAATGTGATCTTTAGCAGCAGCACCATGAGTACTATTACACATGAAATTGCTGAAATACTTAGGGGCCAGCACAACACCAATAATAAAACAATTTTTTTGTTGTGAATGGGGATGCATTCTTATCTATCTACAAAATGTGCAGTGGTAGTCACAGGCAGTTGCAATGCAATGTCGTTTATGTCTCAGAGTGAAAACTTTCTGGGAAAAAATTCACCTTAAGAAATCAAAACTTTACAGCAATTTTTTTCAGTGGTTGACAGCATGTTTTGTCTGGATTTCCATGCCTGGGCTTCCTTTGAGCTTAATGTTAAATTAGACTGTCATAGTACATCCTCCTTTAAATATAGTCATTGGGAATCAGTGTGAAGGAGAAGGGAGGGTAAAGGGTGGGGGAAGAGTGCGGGATCTCCATGCTTCCCAGAAATCTAAATGTATCATAAGGTCAATTTAAAACAAACAAACAAACAAAAAACAAACTCAGGGTGTGTGCTAGGATCAGAGAAGTCTGCAGTGTCATAAACGGAGGAAAACACATTGTTGGGTGACTTTTAAATAAAATCAGGAATTTTCCCATGACTTAAAATTACCTATTTCTATATTTGTATATAATTTTAATAGTTTAACTGCATAAGATGATTTTCCTCCATTTCTGGGAAATTTCACTTAATGTTTTCATTTTGTGCTTTGTTTTGTTCAAGTTCCCTTCAGAAAAGAAGAAATGTGGATCTTGTAAATACTTGTTGCACTGAGAGGCAGATTTCTCAAAACAGTGAGTTAAATGTGCTGATATTTACATCTTGAATAATGAGGAAAAAGAAACCTCAGACCAGAAGTTGTCTAAAATGAGTATTGACTTGCTTATTTTAAGAAATACTGGGCATCTGGAAGGTCTGGAAAAAGTGATGTATGTAATAGCAGAGCATTTAACCACTCTGCATTTTTGCTTAGTTTTTGTTTATGAACTAATAAAATGAAAATCAGAAAATCCAGTCTTTAAACCTCATTTATTTTAATATACTTTTTTAGACTACAGTATTTTGAGTTTCTAAGATTAGATCCAGATTTTTTTAAGCAGAGTTAGCTTTTTCTTGAAAGATACAAGGAGTGTGTTCCTGACTAATGCTGCTTAATTTGTTAGTTAGTGCTCATAGCTCCAGGAAATAACAGGAAATTAATTGTATTAAATAGTTTACTGGAAGAGTTTAGAAGTCTTGTGGAGTCAGTTGTAAGCAAAAGTTCTTTCATACTCTAGAGGTGTGTCTTTTTTGAAGTTATGCATATTAATTTCAAGCAAGTACTTGGTCACAAAATGAAGATTGTGCAGAAACGAGTTTTTGTGTGGTTTTTTTTTTTAAAGTCAGAAGCTGTTGGTCCTAAGAGTATGCAACAAAAGTTTTTTTTTTTTTAACTTGATGCAGGGTAGGAAGGATGAAAATGCCTGTATGCAACTTACATCCAAATTATATAGTAATAGTAGTAGTGTCTGACTAGGTAGTGTCTGAGGGGAAAAAAGTGTCTGGAGTTCAGTTTGAAATGGGAAATTGTTTCTTGTTCTTCAAAATTTTTTCTGAGAAGGGCAGAGAAATCACAAACAGAAAAATCTGTGTCCCTTGTTGATTTTATTAGTGTTTCAGTAGAGTATTGCACTGTATGACTCTGTTTTGTTTTTGTTTTTTTTTTTTTTCTTTAAGAAACTTTCACAGATGAAAAGCCACCTATCATCTCTCCATATGGGGAAACCTTTATTTGTGACAACCCTAAAGATGCTAAAGTAAGTTGAGAAGTCTGGATATAAATGGTCTATCTTCACTTTAATCTTCATGTTACGTATTTTATATTGCCCTTAATTCTTTTTTCCTCGGCTTTTTCAGTTCCCAATACATTTTCTGTCTTTTTAGGTACATACAAAAGTTTTATAGTGTAAATATTTGTGGACTAGTGACTTCTCTTAATCGGGAGATACACTTTGTACTGTCCAATAATAGTAGGAAGCTGTGGTGTTGGTTAGTTTTTTGGTTTTGTTTTTTTTAAACAACATAGGATGGGTAACTGACTTTTTTCTTTTTTTTTTTTTTTTTAATGCCCAGAGCTGCCATATCAAATGCAAAACAGTCACTGACAGGCAGTTGCAGACTACCTTGATGCCTGCCTTCTACCTTCTTAGGTACAGTGGTATATTGTGACACTTTGTGCCTAAGTGAGGCTAAGTGGTGGATAACCATTAGAATTGACTAGTAAAGGTAAAAGTGGCTTTTCTCTCTTCTGATAATTGCAGGTCAAGACTGGGCATCTCTACACAGGCTTGTGTATATCCTATAAAAACAGCTTACATGTTAGCTTAGATGATCTAATGGTCACTTTTGGCCATACCCTTTTTTAATTCCTGTATATGAAAGTTCTCAGGACTTCTGATATTTTTTGTGCATCCCCTAAACTTGCTGTATACCCAGAAAGTCACTTTTGTTGTAGCATTCTCTGAACTGAACATTCTTCTTGGGGTCAGTAATTGATGGTGTGAATGCCATAGATGGCATGTGGACAGGCTTCTGAACCATGTGGAGATCTGGGAGGTAAATTAGCTTAGTGAGGTATCCGCCAAATGCCGTGAATCCCAGCTCCTGCTTCTGTCTTAGCAGGATGCAGACCAGAAATTACTGATTTTGTGATTGCTTATACTTGTCCCAGCTGATCTTAAGCCACTGAGTTAGAGAAAACAGTAAATTATTCTTCGTTTCTGTCCTGGTCTTCACTCTAATGTTTCACTTTTTAAACTATTGTAAACTATTGACTAAAATCAAAGCTACTAAAACGGATCCCCAATTTTAATTTGTTAAGAATTGGTCAGTGAAAAGAAATGGTTCAAATTTTATCTTCTAATGGAAGTGGTTTTAGAAACATGAAAATGATCTCTATTTTTGGTGTGTACTTTCTTTTCTTTGGAAATATATTGTACACTTTTTTTTGTTGACTTTTTAAGGAGGTACGCATAATTCATGTCTTGCTTCTCCTTCTAGTTCTTGTTATCTGCACGCAAAAGCGACTTGAGTTTTCGTTTTCTTTACTTGTGTACAATGTCTTGTCTGTGCCAGTTATTGTTGTCTGTGCCAATTTCATTAAAAATTTGAAATTTAACTTCTTTGTAATTAGTTCAATGGCATAGGCAGATTTTCTAGAAATAGTTTCTTAGCCTTCTTGTTACTTCTTAGCATTATTGTGTATATTTCATTGAAATGCTTGGTTGTAAAAAAGGATACCCAGGAAGGTTGTCAGCAATCTTTATCTTACAAAGGCACCAAATACAAAAATCGCATGCTGTTAAACTGGATTAACTGCTTAAAATACAATTGCTATTTCTGCTGGTTGTAGAATCACAATTAATGCAGTATATTGTAACATGCTTTCCCTGATCTGAAGATTTGGTTTTTAATTATCACTTTCATGCAAGTGAATAGTTTCGAGTTGTAGTTATCACATGCCTGTTGGAAACTTCATAGTTAATTTTTGTTCCATTAGAACTTAATTGCAGACAAAGGTCATAAAGAAGAACCATAAAACAAAGGTCCTAAGATACATTTCACTTTCAGATTTTTTTCTGTAGGTATGAAGTATCCTAGGAACAACTAAGAAAGTTTAGATAACACTGTATCTGAGATTTTAGGGCTTGTAACTGCTGCTTCATTTTAAAAGGTAATCTCTCATGAGAATATAGTTTGTCCATATCAAGAAAAAGTAGCAAATTGCGATACAGAATGAAGTTTGTTCTAAGGGCTTATAAGTTGGCCATTACTCTTCTTCCTGTTTCATTGGTGTAAAGAAGAAAAGGGTTCTATAGGCTTTTATAAAGGGAGTGTCTATGGAAATAGGCAATGAGTCACTACAGACTGGAGGTAAGTGAGCATAGGAGAACAGGGAATTAAGGTTATAAAGAAAATAGGCTTTTGAATTAGGTCAGGAAGACAGCTAGAAGCAGAAACCTCTAAAGGACAACCTGAAGAAGGAACTTTTTTTTTATATTGCTTTAAAAATAACACAAATAAAAATCCAAATGTTTTAGAGCTGATTTATTGTTGTGTCCAACTGAAGAGTCAAGTATATTAGAATTCCTTCACAGAAAAACCGAATTCTAATGAGTTCAGGCCTCGAGAGTGAAATATTGGCTTTATTTCTTGCTGTAGACTGTCAGACTAAATTAAACATGCATACTGAGTTCAGTAAACTATTAGAGCTCCTAAGCATTGTGATAGTGTGGAATGCTGGCCAGATAGCAAATCTTACCACTTTAAAATAAAACCCTTAATATTTTAAAAGGAGGAATTTATCTTTATGGACCTGTTATAAAATTGTTTTGCCAAACCATGATTCAAGAATCAACCTGAGGAGAACTGTGTGACATTAGCTTTAATAGAAGACTAAGGCAGTATCTCTTAAGGAAGATGCCTGTCCTGAATGGCATTGAGGCTTTGTTTAATGTAGCCTCAGTTCTGATACTTTTCATGCCGTCCATGTTTTAGCATTCAGGTTTCCTGACTTGCTGTTGTGATCAGCAAGACTACGTGTTTGAAAAAGCTAAAACAGCAACAACAAAAAAGCATCTGAATTACTTCCTGATTGAAAGTAGAGGATTTTTATACAGGGCTGCAAGTAGGCAGTTCCGTCTGCCTGGGATACATAAGCCAGATTTCTTCCTTAAGGGTAGGTGCTTCCTATGCATAAGAACAGTACATATTTAGAGACAGTTTCTGTCTAATATATATACCTACCTTTTAAGAAATACTTCTCTCTGTAAAGGTGTCTGCAGGAGAAAATGCTGCTGCTAACTACCTTTCTATAGTACCTCAGAGATTTGCAGGAGGTGGGAGATGGGAGTTCTGTCTCATCTTGAGTCTGAGCATCTTGCAGAGTAATTCTGTAAACAACACATTGGAAATGCTTGAGATTTAATTTGGGTGAAATATGTGTCTTTGTGAGCAAATAGAACTCCCTGTCCCCACAACCTGTATTTGTTTGTGGACTTCTACATTTCAAAATCTACTAGTGATAGAAATGCAATTCTTGATTATTGCTTGGAAGTTCTCAGGCTCCCTGAATTCACTTGCCCAAGTGCTGAAGATTGCAGAGTGGGCACAAGCAGGACATAAAACTGTTACTGTAATAGTTCATGAGAGGGAGGGGGAGGAGGAGGTACTACCACATAGCTTCAGTGGGTGTGGTTTGCAGTTGCATCCTGATAGCAAATGAAGGTAAAAGATACTGACCATTTTTACTCTGACGATGCTTCCTGGGCGATGATGACGTTAGCCTCTTGACTATTGGGTAGAAGTGGGACACAGCCATTTCCCCTCCTTTTGTGAGATTCCAGTCAATCCAAGCATTTGATAAGCAGTGGACAGCTTGCTTTTGAGTTTTCTGTTTAGTTTTTTTGCAACATGTATGGGTGTGGAGTTTTTTAATTTTTTTTTTTTTTGTCTAATCCTTGGTGCTACAACATAGTTAATAGTGTGGTATGTGGGTGGTGGTGGTTGTTTTTTGGTGATTTTTTTTTTTTATAATGGATCTGGCTGGCAGAGGAAGGCAGACTGTTCACCTAGGTTTATCCTAGTAGCAGCCTGTGATTTCCGCAATTTTTGCTGCAGCATACACATACTCAGCTTTTGGCTATGTGCTTTTTTAAGCTTGCCTTTTCATGTTGCCAAGGTACAGCCCTCAAGTACAAGATGAGGCACTGCTGCTCAGAAAACAAATGGCAACCGTTGTGAAAGCTTATCCACTTTTTTCTGCCACCCTTCAGCTTTGTGGCATACACATCTAAGCTTAAATGAGTAAATTAAAATGCTTCCGTCAGAAAGATGTTCATTTTAGTTTGTGGTTTTTTTTTTTTTTTTTTAAAAGGAAGAAAGACGAGTGTTGAGAAGCTTAGTAATGCAATATTACTGTCAGATGGAGTTTAGGAAGTGTGAAATGTAATGTTCTTGAACAGTGTTAACCTTGACATTTTGTACACTGCAAGCAGGTTGTGGTAAAGATTTCTAAACAAACATTAATAAATGTGCCTTTTAGGAAGAAGAGCTTTGCAAGAAAATGCGAGATATATTTGATACGGCTGAGTTCCATCTTACTGTAGGAATTTGAATTTACCATTATTTCATCTTTAGTGTACTGTGAATGCTGTACATTTAATTCAGAGAAGAAGTATTGATATGAAAAATAGGCTAGCAGTGGCAAATCATAAGTGGTACGCTTAACATGCATGCAACACGTGGCTCTGAGCTTAGAAAATTTCAGGGTAAAAATAATATTCAGTTGTGCTTCAAGAAAAATCAGAGCACTGATATTTCTACACACTAAATTTCTTTAATTTGTTTGTATCAGGTGTTTTGGACTATGCTCATGTTTTATCTGAGTATTATTTAAAACGGAAATACTGAAAATAACATTTCTTAAAATGCTTTTAAAAACATGATCTTCTAAATGCATATTACATGAAAATATGGCAAAGAATAGCTTTGCTAGTTAGGCGTCTATTTGTGTGTGATTTATGTCTACAGTAATTTAAACATCACTTACTACTTTAGTACAAATGTTGGTTATGATATATTTCTTTTCTAGGAACTTCATGGAAATGAATTCCTGGCTTGTGAAAATAAATCAGATCTAGGAATGAATGAAGAATATTCTTCTTACAAGAATCTATGGTATTAAATAAGAGTTATAGAGAAATTCAAAGTGTAAAGAGGAGAGAGTTATTTACTGATATCACAAGTAGATCCTTACCTCTGAAGGCACAACCATGACTGTATTTATTTTTTTCTCCTATTTGAACCTTTACCCCATGCTATCGGAGGCAAAGTTTGGCTCTGTGGCTGTCCTAAGACTGTCTAACTCAAGTTTCAGAATCTTTTGTGGATTTGGAAGATGTCCCTCTTCTCCTCAGTCAGAACAAGAGAGACACAAGTTTTATTTTTGTATGTCTCCTAGCTAACCATGTCTGAGTACTCTCGTACTCTACCTCCTCATTAGGAAAAAAAAACCCAAACACAAAACTAAAAACTGTTCACTGACATGAGGCAGTGGCCAGTGGTTTGACAAAATGGGAGCTAACGTGCTCCTTAAGTCTCCAGTCTGTACCTGGCTTCTATTGAGGCGGGAGAGGGAAGAGAGAGGTGATACTGCAAGTCCTCTAAAGTATTAAAATGAATGAAGCTAGTTTTCTGAGGAAGGAGAATTAATTTTAAATTTCTGTTCAGGATTCTAAAGGAACCAGCAAGTCTTACCTTGCTACCAGTCCTGTTGAATGGAGAAAGTAGGATTCAGTATGGTCATAGTTACAAGATACATTGTGTTTAGCATGTCTGTGGTTATCACAATGGTTAAACAAGTTATAAACGTATTTATAATATGTCTTACCAATATTTGTTCTAGTTAATAATTTTATGTATTTGTGCATTGTAGCAATACATTAGGAGTAAAATGCTCTTTTTCTTTCTAGTTCCTTTAATAATCAGGAAGAGAAGACAAAGGAATTTGCGAAAAATGAATCCCTGTCTCGGGAAAACAAATCATTAGCACCAGCAGAATCTGAAAGTGAATCTGTATATTCTATTGTGGAACAACGGTCTTTGCCTTTAAAGAAGAAGAAGAATAAAGACAAGACCCACTCAGCATCTTGTAGTAAGATACGAAGTGGAGATTCAGATCGCTTGGTCAGTGAACAAACGCGTTTTTGGCAATTTGATGGAGATCAAACTTTGACTGGAAATGATTCAATAACACCGTATGCTTGTTTTTATGGACCATCAGTAAAGAAGGTTAAAGCAGGATGGCTGGATAAATTATCCCCTCAAGGGTATGGTATTTGCAGTGATTACTGTATAATTGTGAAGATGTATGTTTGCATGAGAGATGTTAAGTTTGTATTTGGTCACTGCTTACTATTTATGGTGGGAGAGGAAAGGAAACTGTTCTTGTTGCAAGAGCATAGGGCTCTTCTGAATTCTTAGTTTTTAATGGTGTTACCTATTCTAAAGTTTATTTAGGAGGTGCACTCAGGAAAAATATTTTTATTAAAAATGTTGATCACCACTCATGAACTGCAGCAGAAAAATACAGAATTAATTTGTAGCAATATTTCTAATCTGTACATTTTTGCTGATTTTGTGTGGGCTGCAAAGTAAGTGAGAACAAACTCTGATTCTGACATACTACTTTACCAATTTGGCCGTGCATGTATAAATTAATAATTACTGTGACTGGACATCCTGTTGATTTCAGAACAGAAGCTTTGAGTTTAGAAATGCATCTAGGGTGAATTGTCTCCTAGTTTAGTTTATTGATGTGCCTAAAGTTTGATGGGAGGAATCTAAGCCTAAGTCTTGCTTTAAGATTTCAAATAAGGAAGAGGAGAGAGGAACACAATAGAAAGAGAATGGACTCTTTGCTACATTTGTAGGTGAAAAAAATAAAAAATCTTATGCTTAATTTCTGTTATTTTTTAATGTTTTTTTTAAGTGCTTTATTTTAACTACTTTAAATTCCAGCTCTTCTTAGATTGTTTTACACTGAAGAACACTCTATTATCAGATCTTCCCTTCATAAATACTTGCAAACTCTGATGACATTCTTCTAACATCCTTAATAAATTGAATAGACTATTCTTTGTTTTAAGTTGTAGTTTCCAGTTCTCCAGTTGTTCTTATGGTTTTCTTCTGAATTCCTTTTAGTATTGAAAGTGGCACAATTTCACTTTTTAAGTCTATTTCTGATCTTCACTAGTATTTAGCATCTAGAAATTAAAGCTGTTCTTGTTAGTACTGTAACATATCTATTTTACTGTACTTGTACTCAAACCTTAGTAGTTCTGCATTCTTTGTTCTTAAGACCATATGTTTAACTACACTGAAAGGTGATACTAAACTGTTTGGCCTTCCCTTTCATTATTTGTGGCTATAATAATCATCACTACTCATTGACTAGCACAGCAATTAAAATTTTTTTCAGTTTAGTGACAAAGCTATTGAATTAAATTGGTTGAGAATACAATCTGGTTTGAGCCTGAGCCCACGGGAAGGACCTCTGTTGTATAGCAATTTCCTTCTTTTTTTTTTTTTTTTTTTTGTTCCTTTTTAAGAGTTCTGATTTAACAAGTTTTAATTTCTTTGATTTTGGCTTTATCTGTGTTGATACAGTGATACATTGTTCAAGCTGAACAACCAAAGGAATAAACCTGGTTTAATAAACCTATTTTACTGTTATGGAACTTCAATCTGCTCAAACTTTTTTTTTTTAAAATTGTTTCAAAGGTTTCATTCACATTTATGGATTGTCATTGTTTACTTCTGTTAAAGAATCAAAGGATAATTATACATAGAGTCAAAAGACTTTTTCCCAGTATAATATGCATTTGCATATCTCTCTTTCAGAATTGATTTCAACTACTTTTTTAATACAATACTTTTGGCAGTTAGCGAGTAGAGTGATAAAAAGGTCTTGATTCCAGTTGACTAATCTTGTGCTATTTGAAGGAGTAGAATTGCGAACAAAGTGTGAAGGCTTTAGGTAAAGTACTGTGTGAGAATATATTATTTGAAAAAGATAATGAGCTAAGCACAAAATTGGTACTGGTTAGGACTGAGTAGTACAGTTGCAGGATCATTAGCTTTGAGCCAGTGATATTCCTTGGCTGAATTTCAAGGATTTTTTCTTAAGCATGGTTTAATGAATGCTACATTTTTTGGTTCTCTTTCTTAAAATACCATTTCTCAAATATCAGAAGACTTAAAGAAACCAAACAAAAAAAAACCCCAATGATTTTTTTCATCTCTTAAAGCACTGTCATATTTTATTTCACTCCCCGCCAACTGAATGTTTCTTTCTGTTCCCCTCCCCTGCCCCCCTTTTCTTTTTATAGAGCTTGGATTTATATCTGGCACTTTGTGTCCTCTCAAGATACTGTTTTCTTAAATTGCTACAAATCCTTAAAGTACAGCTTCTCTTTTTAGTTAACTCACTATAAATTGTAAAGCCATTCAGTTTATTCACATTGTGTGTGGTACTTAGGTTCGCTTTTTCTTCCCTGCATCATCTTGAAGTTTATTGACATTTTAATGGAAAATAGATTTTACATTGGCCTTTCTAGGTTATGAAAAATGATGATTTATTGTAGTCATATAATACAAGTTAATTAAGCTAGAGCTGCTATTTGATTAAAGTTTTCATGAACTATCACAGTCTACTAATCCTAAAGCAGAGCACTCATTTAGCAAGAAAGGAAATAACGTTGGGAAAAGAGATGTTACAGTGGGGTCTTGTTCTTGCTTAATTAACTTGTTTAATAGATTTTAGAATTGAAACTTTTATAGATGATACCTAATAGGCTGTCGACATTTTTAATGAGCATAATGGACTACTTCAGGTTCATGTAAAAATAATTTTTTAGGAGGTCCTTATAGAGCATGAATTAACAGCAAACTGAAATAATCAAATGAGCTTCTCATTAATGATGTCCAGTTGATAACACAGATTGAAAATGAAATTTTATGTTGTACTTGTTGAGTGATTGGTATAACCGCTATTTATTCATTGGCCAGGGAAGAGAGTGCTCAGGAGATGTTGATGACTGGAGATCTCTGTAAACAGAGATGTCCTTCTTGTAAACATGGCAGTGACATGGTCATTTTAGGTTCTCAGCTTTTTGTTTTTAGAAAGTATCTTACAGAGCTTGTAATACTTAAAGGTATGCTCTATGTTCAGAATATTCCTTTGCCTCCAATAAAAATAGCCAGTTCTTACCCTTGTTAGTTTCAAGCAAAATTATATTGCTGAAAGTTCTTTTTCCTCTGTCACTTCAGATGTGATATAGAGCATATGGGCAGGAAATAGAAAGGAAACTGAATTGATTAAAAATATGAAGATACTGATTTATAAAAGAAGTCCAGTAATACTGCACTCCTTGTTTGCAGATATTTTTATTATATTTGAAATCAGCATTCTCCTTTTGAAAAGGTATGATAGGGCTAAGATTTATTTTAATTTTCAAAATGTTTAGGCCCAAACACAGGAAGCTAAACATGATTTGACCTTTTATAATTTGTGCTTGAGACATTCTTAAAAGCCAGTGTTACTTGTGTTTATAATTTTAAATGTATTAATTTTTGATTCACAGCAAACGTATGTTTCAGAAGCGTTGGGTTAAGTTCGACGGAGACAGCATTTCTTATTACAATAATGAAAAGGTAAGTGACATGTTTTGGTCACGTATGGGAAAAAATTTATTTAATAAACACATTACCATGAAGAAATTCAGAAATAATTACAAATGAATATTCATCTTAAATTCATTTTCAATTGCAAAGTACTAGGATGAGACATTATTAAATATTTTAAGGTGTCCTTAAGATCTTCATGTATTGTTCATCCTCTTGTTTTCTAGAAGGGCTTGTATTCCTGACCTTTTCAGGTAGATATCATCAGAAATTCTTACTTTATTGAAGGAGTGACACTTCTGCATTCTGCAAAACAGAACAGGATCACGCAAAACACATTTAAGAGATCCAGTGTTATTTTGGTGGTGGTATGTTTTGTCATGGAAACGCAGCATGCTGGAGATTTTGGGAGAGAAATCAAATGTGGCATGGAAGACCTTTTAAAAATCAAAAACCCCATACAGTTGCTTCCTCTTTAATTAAAATGTCTCTTGCCTGTTTGTCTTCTAGGAATAATCACATGTCATTGGACTAGGTTATGTTTGAATGTGTCTCTTTAAAATCAGCGTAGTACTGCTATGTCAGTGGCTGTTCTTTGTTTCTGTGCCTAAGGATTGAATCTTACTGCAACATTTGCAGACTCATGAGTTGCTTTGATTAAAGTAGTTTGCTTCCGATATGTGATCCAAAAATGGATTTGTAAATCATGTTTTCAACAAAATGTGTATTCCCTCTGTGAAATTGAGATTTACAAAATACTTATTTGACCTTTTGATACTACTTTTTCACATTGGAAACTACATTGGGTTTTTTCCTGAGACCTGTCTTTAAATATGACTTTCTTTTTTTTCTTTAAGATTTTTTTATTTTCTATTTAATACACTTTAGCCCACTACAAAATTCTTTTTCTTTTGCTCTGTGATTAATTAATTTCTCCTCTTGGAAGAAATGAAGAACTTGTTAAAAGTGATAGATGAGTTTATAATACGCATGTTTGGTGGAGATGAGGTTATATGCATGTGTGTTATTTGAAATGCTGAAAGGCATTTCCGGTTGAAGATGCATATTAAATTAGGAACAAAATACAATTTCAGGTAAAAGTTCCCCAGCAATATGATGGGTGGTGGTAATCAATATGAGTCCCATAGATGCTTTATAATATGCACACTCTTAGACCTATTTTAGCAAATTATGAAGGGAGTAGAACTGAAGTAGGAAAAGACTGTTTATTTCCTGAGGGGCCAGAGAAATTAAGAACAAACTCAAAAAATTATTTGTGTTGACCTTTATGCCTACTGATTAGGAACACAAAACAATCTGTTTTTAGTTCTTTCTTTGCTTCACTCACAGTAGAAGACATGATTGTGTAGATGAAGGGAACAATAGAATAACATTTGGATTGCAGTGACAAAAAGTGTTACTCCTTTGTGGTATTCATCCTAGGGCTTCAGAGGAGTGGAAAAGCAGGATTAGTCATTAAGAAAGACTTGAAAAATACAGCGTTGGGATTTGCTTAACACTGTCTGTAGCATAATTAGGGAAA